AATACCATCATGCGTTATACATGTTATATGTTTTACGCTAAATCAAAATGTAGAATATTATGGAAATTTAATATACTGATTACTGATCAACCAAGTTGCTGACATAGCATACTGTTTAAAGTCACCTAACACCACTATTAATCTAGAATCTGTTAATAAGAATTCCGTTGGAACAAATTGCACCCCAAGCTTTGACTGTTGAATCACCTCTATTATGATAAAATTTGCCCCTATAATACGAAGTTTCTGAAAAGTTGTATGTCCAAGTTGAGTTCCCAAATCCAGTCAGAACCCTTAATGTAAATATGAACCAATCATAAGCCGAGATAATCACGAAAAGTGCTAAACAGGGCGTGGCCGATTCTGCGCGAGGGACCACTTTTCAATTTGATACCACCAACTCGAAAAAAACTAGAACAAACTTTAATTGCAATTAAGCTATATTAAGTTGAGTTCCCAAATCCAGTCAGAACCCTTAATGTAAATATGAACCAATCATAAGCCGAGATAATCACGAAAAGTGCTAAACAGGGCGTGGCCGATTCTGCGCGAGGGACCACTTTTCAATTTGATACCACCAACTCGAAAAAAACTAGAACAAACTTTAATTGCAATTAAGCTATATAAGTAGTTAAAATTTTAGGATTTTTACTGATCCACATTAAAATTTCAAGACATATATGATAAAATCTGTCGTCTTTTATCTTAGTTTCATATGTAAAGAAATCACATACATAAAGAGGAATTCTAAATGCAGAATTGCAATTGCATCTTGTGCGTATAAATTTGTATATCATGAATGAAATTATAGAAATTATATGGAAGTTTTTAGAAGACGGAAATAAGACAATGCCAAACATCAAGGTTAGACATATTATCACATTATCGGGGTGACAACTGGACTCTGTAGTCATATCACTGTAAAGCTCTATTAGCTATACTCGCTAAAGCAGTAAAGCACCTGCCTCTAACAAGGCCTATTTCAGAGTGCTCACAAAACATGCTAACACTAAAATACCCATCTTGTGCAACACCTATACCCTAAGTAGCAAGTACCCAGTCCTTTGTGATAGTAGACCATAGATCTCGAACCGAGGGTTACGATACCAGACATATGACACGCAGGTACAAAAAACACCCTCTGATCCCAGCCGCATATTAAGTAAACAATAAAGTGTGGTCGGCATAGAATCGGTCCGCGTTTCAGAGCAATGACCACCATATCATATCAGTAGTAGAGATAGACAATACAGCTCGAGGTCCTCAGCAATTAATGTGAATTGTGAGCTCAATCTTATCGGCAGATCTCGACATGTGAACATATGTTATTGATAGTGGTGCAGCAGTTGTACCACCATGGACACCATGATTAAATTGGGGCCTGTATTTAATGAGTTAGTGACGGATCAGTATAAAACCAGATGAAGTTATGAACTACCGGGGAATATTACGGGCAATATTACGGGCATGATTCTAAACCAATAAGATAGTGATCGATGGTGGAATGGATCATTTTTATAGCTATTAGTATTATTAAACTTATAGGAGTGTCCCAAAGGATTCGAGTCTTTAATCCAATTTTCAACGACAAAATTAGCGTGATTTTAAGCAAGCATAGCCCATGTATAATAATAGAAGTAATATCGATTAGTCTTGCGAATGTAGGTTCATTCGAGAAATTAACTGGATGCAACTTTCATAAGACCGTATTTCATAAGACCGTCTTGAACACTGCAATTATGATCATCCTCGATAAGAAATGAATTGAATGTTCGAACTTTTGATCTAATTTCTGGCTTTGTCAAAAACATTATTATAGGGAGGAGCCTGACCAGGAAACCGTAGAATCCTTTACAATTTGTATCAATGACAAATGAACATACAAAGCGCTCTCAATTCTCATGTTATAACGACAATAGTAAAAAGGAGGGAGTGACCTGCCACACCCACGGTAATCCATGAAATTTTACGAAACTTTCAGGAAAACTAAGTCTGACCCATATCTATAATTTCCGAACATTTTGTGCAATTCTGACACGAATCACGTGAGTTAATAAAGGGTTGCGTGTCCCACATGCACCCTGTATGTATATCGGAAATGATGATGCCAAGGTTCTGTTATTAAAGATTGAGCATGTTTAGAAATATGATAGTCAGCAGAACACGAGGGGACGTTTTAATACTTCAAAGTAAAAAAGCTATTATATCATGGCTAACTTTATTACTTATTGATTCTTTGAATAGCGAGATAGTAATTTAATAATAGCACCTTTGAGAACTTCTGATCTTCAACTTCAAGATTACTTTTTTATCTTACCACGGGCCACGAGGCCAACGCTACAATTATTTGTTATTGTCTAGCCACATGCTCACCAAAATTATTTTTAAAGGAGTAATTGTTTTCTGAATGATGTTTAAAAATCAAGGAAGACTACCTGAAAACACGTTTTTATATGAAATATGTGACGAATTATTCGTCTATTATAATGCTATTTCTTGTCACTTTGTCATAAACCGCAATCTTTATAGCGGAAGATGAAAATCCGTCCAGTCTATTTATTTTTGATATTGACAATATGTTTCTCGTCCTTTAAGTCCAACTTTAGAAAAACGCATTTAGGTATCTAATTTTGTAAGCTCAAGTTTTAAATTGCTTATAATTATATCATCTGGTCTGTACTGCATAGGACTCTAATTCGAATATGTGGTATATTATTTAAACAGTGTAAACACGCCTTACAATTACGGCAAAACCCGTATCGGAATTATAAAGTCGCAAACTTTCCATTTGTTTCTACAACGAGAACTCAAATTGATAGGCTCAGTGCTAACTGTTTGTCTGCAGATAGAAGTAAATAAATTGGGAGAATAGGAAGCCATCAAAGAATTGTTCACTCTTTACTCCCTGCCTATATGGAGTTGTTTTATTTTGTCAACCTAACCATTTACAAATTTTACACTGTTATGTGGGTAGTTTATACTTATATCAGGACCAAATTGTATTGAATTCTCTACTTGTCAGCCATAATAAGGCCCTGCTTACCTCAATCATTGGCTGCTACACGTACTCATGATACTTGGCATATAAATGACCATTGGTAATTGACTTTGTATCATTTCAATCATTGCTTCCGGTGATAGGCGCAGATTCTGCCACAATTAGAGTAATTGGGTGATCTGATTAGCATTAAAGTCGGACTAGTTACCTAAGACCTTCTCAATTCGCCAGCGGAAAGTGTATCACACCATCAAGAATTTCATTTTTCATTAATCACCATCTAGTCTACAAAGATCTAATTTTTGCTTATTTAACTAAACTTTCTATTGCCGGAAAATTGTTTGATCTGATCGCCACGCATTTTTGCCTCGCTTCATCAATCGGAATTGCTGTTTGTTCCAAACGATCAATTCAATTCAATCGAACGAAGATTGTAGCTTTGATCATTGATGCTCTAAAACAAACAATTCATGTCAGAGTCTCTGTCAGCCTATTACCCTGATATTTCATAGCTGTTTTTGTTCTTTGCTTTTACAATTTGATCGTAGATGTGACCTTGTTGCTTATTATTGAACTATTTGTGCTAATAGTTTTTCAAACAATCCCTGCTTGAACGTTGAATTCATCTTTTTTGGTATCGGATAATACAATTGGACGTCAAAATTGATCGGACGTCCACCAGATGATTCTACTTCTACGCTACTTTCTAAATAGAGAATAAAGAACATACCTAAATAATTTTTAAATAAAAAGTCTGAATCGAGAAGTAGGCTGAATATTCAGTAGACTGATTTCGAAAGAATTGAGCACAAATACCGGATTCTTCGATCTACTGTCCTTTGTACTCTCTAACTAAACTTAAAGTGACCCAATTACTATTACACCAATCACTATAAGTCAGTCATTAACTTAGAGCTAGAGGGGCAAGACACCACATAATGCTAAGAAAACCAAATCAAGCCCATCGATAATGATACTTGGCTGCGTTTACGTTACAGACGATCAATCTATCGGCACTCCACAATCAACTAATATAAAGCAGTTATACCTGTTATTTGACAAATACCAACACTGTTGATCTTGCAAGACATCACAAAAATCTCAACAACCGTTAACAATAGTATTGTTGCGTATTATCGTCATACCCCTAACTATACTGCCAATCTGAAAGGAATCCAATCAAGCTGAAATGGGCATGATTTTGTTAACAGTCTGTTGATCAAAATAGGGTCCACTCAAAGAGATATAATCGATTTGAGGGAAAGAAAACACAGTAGTGTATATGACTGAAAAATAGATTAGATATTTTGTGCTTACGGGCAGCTGCTGTCTTCATTAGGGATTACGTGAATTGATGACAGAGGCTTATAATGGTTATCATATTAAGGGTTATTAAAGAACCAAAGCTATACCAATATTATTAGCCCTTCTTTAGACATCCGTAACACTTAAAATCAAGATGAAGGGCCTAAGACATCGCTAATCGATACAGAATTGGGACCGTCTAACTTTACATAAGCACCCTCCTTAATTCGAGCGTCAAGGTAACTCGAAATGATCGAGTTATAGCATTTCATATCATGATAATGTCATTGAAATTTAATTTGAATTGCATGCCTGGCGAAGCTTTGACCGAGATACGGTTCGGTCGAAAATTCTTTGATCAATTGCATTTGCAATACTATAATATTTATATTGTGAAAATTGGCGATTGATTACTGAGCATTTTTATACCTGCACCAAGTATAATCGATATGAAACATCACAGCTCGTAAAGGAACGAAATGATAATGTCAAAGTAACCGAGCGTAAAGCTGTAAGATTTGACTTCGAGATACTTAAGTTACCGCTAATAAGTGATAAAGAGATGAGCCCTCACGTATATTATATCACAATTTTAGCTAACCATCTTGCATCACCTGCCAGAACTCAAATTATTTACAGAATTTAGAGCCGAACCGTCGTATTCTAAACGACAATATTTAACATTTTAACTTTCAAGGTTCGAAATGATGGTTGTTGAAGATGGATCGATGTATACAAAGCTCGGAACGAAATCGAGTAATTCGGAGTCAGATGTAAGTTTTTGATTTAATGTCTTGCATTTTAATTAAACTTGTCTAGAAATATGGTCATTTTAACAACGATGAGATGCTCATATATTTATGTCGTTGCAAATGGCTGAAAATGTTTCTGTTCGCATTGTCATGACTTGTTTCATAAATCACGACAGAGACTCATGACAGAGATCAAAGCGGTTTCCGATGCAACCCAACGAATCGTCAGGAGCCTGTTGATCTTAGCGGAGAATTGCAAAACGCAAAGGGACAGATCCAATTAATTACCTATTGATCCCACTTTATTCCATTAGCTCCAGTTCCACAAGATGAGCAAATACGATAGCCCAACTTATAGTCCATTCGTATAATGGCTCCACTATTGCACAAGATATAGTAATATCACTCTACCGGTATATTCGACAATAGACTTAGAACCATCAACCGTCGGATCCAATATGCCACATACGTAATACGTTATACGAGTTTAATTTAAGTTGTAGACGAATTGAAGACGAATGTAACGACCGAGATACTCAGTATAGAATTGTTGGCCATAGTAATGCCAGATATAGGAATGGAATTATAAATGTAAATGTGCAGTCCATTACAACACAAACGAGATTATTTTGAGCGGGTAATAATAATAACGGGCAATAATTTAATCTTTCGAGAAAGTCAAAGCGGTATCCGTATAACTATATGTAACTCAAGGCTAAACTTCCTCAAAGTTGAGACAATGTTAAAGCGCTTGAAGCTCCAGTGACAGGTATATTAAATTACATATATTTATAATAGTTGTATTGGTAATGGCAGGTGACAGGCGTATGAGATAAATAACCAATAACCACCATTTGAAATGACACTATTAAATTGAGTTGGATCATTTTTCGATACGAGATTGGGGACGGGTTCTATATAATAACCAAACCATTATTATTATTAAAAGACTGGGGATTTCATTCGGAGTGACATACTACATAATTATACTACAATACGACTAAGAGTCTTAGTAAGACTATAAGCGGACTGGAGAAAGTTGTTTAAATTAAGGAGACACTCACGTACTATGAGGCTAATTTTCCAAAACTCACGGAAACCTATTTTAATTTAGATCTGTTTCGAAGATTCTAAAAACTTAGAAAGACAGATTATTTGTACCCAAAACTTTGGGAAAAAAATACACCTTCTAGATCTGCAGTGACACAAATCAGTGCATATTTGTTCTTATCTAATCGATAAACCTCTTTATCTATGACTCTAGATCTCATTTGCTTCAGATCCCACAGAATTACAACATCAATATTCAATAACAGTAACACACTCTCATTTCAGAGCCACGCAGCGACGCCAGTAAACGTAGAGACCCACATTGCACTGTCCATCTTTCTCTGTCTCCTCTTCCCTGTCACTGGTATCCCTGCTCTGATCTGTTCCTTGGAGTCCCGCAAGGCAATAAGTGACAAGTCCCTGCCCAGAGCTGCTACTTGGTCCAGAAGAGCGTGCATCCTGAACGCGGTAGGAGGGATTATCGTGGTGATGCTCCTGCTGACTTATGTGTTCTGGTTGATATCATGGTGGCTGACTCCGTTTCAACCTCCAGCTAGTTACAGCTCTGGGTATGATGCTGCACCAGGGGTTGATGCTGGACCAGGTGAACAAGGACATTATAGAACATACATCGTCACTAAATCGCCTCCCCTTACCTATCCTACTACTGGAACGATTTAGGAGATTGACTCTATAGACTTATTTGATAATATGATGATTGATTTACCACATATTTTGTGGCTTGCCGGACTATTTGGTACCATGAGGAGCACATTAACGACCGGAAACTAAAAAGACACATAATGAATAATCTATTGATCCGTGTGACAGTTCCCAGAATCGTCAGCAGCCAGCAAAAACCAGCAGAGACAATGGAACGACGTCACGCTATAACTCTATAAGATTCAGATTTGTCGGCCTCAAGAATTCTTAACAGTAGAAAGCGCAATTTCAATGCTTATTATATGTAATTGTGATGCTGAAGGGGTTAGAGGCTGGATCGGAAGAATTACCTGGACTTTTTAAAACGAATTTGGCATGAAAATTTCCTGAACATTAGAGCTCATTTGTCATGATGATTTATAAGTCGTGAACTTATAACATGACATTTGTAAGAAATATCGTTAAAATCGCAGTTCTACTTCCACTCATTGAATAACCCTAGAACTCTGAGAGTGGAAGAGGCCATTTATGGTCAAATCACAAGTAAAAGTTGCCTCAGTAAACTTGACCACGACAATATTATCCGATGATAAGATTTACTTGCTTCTCGGTTCGATTGTACTTACTTCTTTACTTATAGTTATATGCAAGGGTTTATATTCTGTGTTCTATGCATCCAAAATCATATTAGATTTAAAGGGGTCGTTCACAGATTACGTAATAATCTTTTGGAACATTTTTACCCCCGGCCGCCCCCCCCCCCCCCTCCGTAATCAGTTTTACATATATAGCTATTGTGTCAAAATAACACTAGCGTAATCATTCGGAAACCTCCCCCCCCCCCTCAGCTGATTACGTAATATGTGAACGACCCCAAAGTACCGTCTAAAGACGACCTTAAAGTTATAGTCAGATTGGTCAAATATTTTCTTGTAATTTCGCCTGTACAAAGCTCATCTAAATTTTAACACATCATAATACCCCATTTAAAAGGGTAACATCATAACATCTCTTGTCATCTGAAAGGTAAAACATCATTATGCTTCATCTAAATCTGTAAATGTTATGATGACGAATCAGTTTATCTGACGAAGACCTCCAAATATCGAAAAAAAGTTTTGAATACAGGGAGCTTGAGAATCCCGATTTTAGTAATTCAGATTGTAGTAATTCCAATTCCAATCTGAAATTTATTGCAGGGTACAATTGACATACAGAGATTAAAATTTGTGAATAAAACTTTGCAATTAAATGGAATATTACAGCGGTACCAAATTAAAACTATACAAATCAAAATAAACACCCATTTTGTGATTTCAATCTAAATTTCAGCATGTAAAAGGACGCTATAAAAATTTGATAGGGTTATATTATAACACTTATTTACTGAAAATCTGAATAATAATAATATTAATATCTCAATCTCTGCCCTATAGCTGTAGGCTCGGCTCATCCTATTTACAGTTTATGTACAAATTTACATTGAAGAAACACAAGTTACGCATCCATAAACATTGCAATTAAGATTGGCCAGTGATATAATACTAATAGTTACAAACGTATGAGCTCAGCTCAGAAGCCACAGCTTAACTTAAACTTCATCTCGTTTTAGAGGCCCTACTACCAACGACACGAATACTATCTGATATTTCAAAGTTCGCTGTAAAACTATCCTGAAGGAGCTACACCAGCGGTCCTACAATGCTTTGAAGGAGCTACACCAGTTGTCCTACAGTGCTTTGAAGGAGCTACACCAGCGGTCCTACTTAATGCTCTGAAGGAGCTACACTAGCGGTCCTACAATGCTCTGAACTTAAAGGAGCTACATCAGCAGTCCTACAATGCTCTGAAGTGGAATATTAATCTAGAAGGCAGTAGCCCGAAGTCGTGGCAGTATCGTGGGTGTTTTGTTGTTGGAACTACTGCTGGCTCGGGTACTAGACCCCGCTTTACCACCAGGCTTGTTTCGGCGGCCCCGTACAGCTGTCCCTTCCTTGCTAGCCTCCAACAGGTGCTTGGGGAACAGACTCTTCTCATCAAACTTCAGAGCTGAAAATGGGTGTGGTTATTAGCTTGTACGTCACATATTGCTTTATAAAATCACAGTTATACAGATAGCTATTTATAATTATATTAACATCGCCATAATAAGGAATCATTTGAACACGCCAGGCAGTCGTTAAATGTAAAGACTAGAACAAAAGATGATAAGGATTAAGGTCCGTGCCCCATAAAGTTTGTTGGTTTGATAAGATTATAAACCTCAGTGCACACATAGCACACATATTTTAGGTAGCTGAACAAATAACACCAGCTTCCTAAAGGGGGGTTTTCAAAAAGGCAAACAAAATTCGTCGATTCAGATGCTGGCCATATTACATGTTACCCAACTTTCAAGAAGGTTTAGTAGTTGTTATATCTAATAAATATTTAATAAATATCAGAATATGATAAAGGAATTATTTGCGCAATGATATTTTCACACCCTCCACAGTCAGCCGCTATGGCATGATTATCCAATATCCAACTTCTTTCTCTTGGTTAAGGTTTAATGTTAATCATATGTGTTGGATCAAATACAAGTATTTTACTTTTATTGTTACAATTTTATATTCGTGTGTGGTAACTATTATTCGTTAGTGTATTGTAATTCTGTATAAAACAATTTGTGCACGTTATTGGCAGTATAAAATTGTGGTGAAGTATTGTGACGTTGCGTGATAGCTCGCGTATGAAACACAAAGTCATTTTATTTCTTTTTGTGTTAAATTACTGAGTTGGAACTTGTCAAAAAATTGTTACGTGCCGTGTTGAATTTAAAAGAATCAGATAGAACAAAGTTAAATATTCCATACATTTCTGGTTGAATATTCATTCGCTTCGAGTAAGTTTGTTGTAATGTTAGCAGCAATATGAGTTGTCTAGTTACAGGAGTAGTCTGTGGGGGGTCCCCACTCCCCAGTAGACTGTAGGGAGGAGGGGGGTCCCCACTCCCCAGTAGACTGTAGGGAGGAGGGGGGGTCCCTACTCCCCAGTAGACTTGAAACATTCCAAGGATTTGAGTATAGGGCTGTTTGTGACGTATTTGTATCCTTGTAGTTGTTCTTGTAGTTGTTCTTGTAGTTGTTCTTGTAGTTGTTCTTGTAGTTGTTCTTGTACCCATGTTTTTTACATTGACCGTTTTATTGTATAACTCAGGGCTTGTGTATATGATGCTCTTATCTGTATAACTATTACATGGACAATAATTATAGGCCCATATTGCAATGCCAATATAAGTATAACAAGGTGGAGCCAGCCTCTCTCTTCGCGGCCGGATCTTCGATCGTTGTGTATATGTATTATGTAACAGCGAATAAAAACTTAACTTGAGCTCTTCGGATAAGGCAAAGAATCGAACTGGGCCGGGGATATTAATTTTATGCGCATAAATTTTGAAAACAACACATGGGCTTTTGAGAGGAGCTGACAAAAGGGACCATTCGTCAACTGTCGTTTGTGAGCTCATTCTCTGAAACCTAATATACAACAGATGCCAGATTTTGGTCTTATATAAGACCTCTTTCCTCACACATATCTTTGTAATTGTAAAGTAAAACACTTTCCCACCAGGCTGCTTATGTTATATTTCAACGATCCCTTATTATTGTGTAAATGCAATGATCATATTGACCTAATAATTACGTTTCATCTGATTTTCAAATGAATGTTTAAGATGACAGCCGTCTTTCATGTTTTTTGTCGACAGATAACCGATCATATTTCGTTGAAGTTTGAATAACATGGTCAGAGAGCACGTTTCCTTAATTTGTGTAGTGGATTTGTAGTAGCTTACACTATAGTTTGATACATGTTTACAACTAGAACCACTTTAATTTGAATTTAACAAGACCTCCTAACCGAGAATTATATGGAAATTAAACATATTTACAGGATTATTTCATACTGTTAATTTAGTTCATCTCTGTCATCATTTCAAATTTGTATAGTCAATAGTGTATAAGAGCTTAATTTTCAAGCTCACTTCTGTCTCTCCTAGCAGACCTGGCCCTGTTTTTTTATTTTGCCCTTTTTTATTCACTTTTTAGTAGACGAATAATGAATTAAGTATGTACTGTGTAAGTCCCAAGCTCACTGCTGCCTACTGATTGCTGTGCAGCGCCAGCAAGGACTAAAGGTACCGTAACGTGGTCCTTCCCAGCTGCTCCCGCTCCAACCTTCTTATGAGGTAACTATTGACCCTTCATTGTAACTCTGTCGGAACAGGCCACGTAGAAATTGTGTAGCCACTAATCATTAGTCTGGCAAATGTACAGCTACAATGAACTTCTGTTGAAATAAGTAGGAGATGACAAGGCGAGAGATATTTATCATTAGTCGCTTCACAAATACAAATAGACACTGGGCTTATTCCGGAATCCGGATGTCTACAGTAGCACATTACCTCGGTGCTTTATACCAACAGTGTTGTGATCTGGTAAAAATATAGCTGGCCGATTATCTAGCGTGAGCGGTAATATGATCACGGCTTGGTCGTATGTACCAACATCGCTTATCTACCGCAGATGATATAAAATATTGCAATCAGAGGAGTTTGACGTTACTTTCTTGATAGTGCAAGTCTGGAAGTCTGGACGATTTGCAACCCTTCTCAGTCAATCTAATGAATCAGACCGTCGACTATTGACACGACTGAAGCATCTGATTGTTGGTGATCATATTGCATGAGACGGGCGATATATCATGCAAATTTCGGGGTATCCGCCTCCAATCCTTGCTCCATTATGAAGATTGTGTGGTCTGCACATCTCCTCGCTATCAGGTATTCGGATGAGCGGGTATTTACTTGTTAGCATGACAGCTTCTAGCAATGAAACACCACTGTGAATAGAGAATAATAAAACAGCAGTCTTGGTGCACCTGTTCAAAGCGAATATGACCCCTGTTCTCAGAGCTTTACACGGTTAACCATTAGTATTAGTCAGGACCACGTGACCGCGCATCGTCCATCATTACCGCTGCATGTTAAAAACGGTTGTACTTCCATGATCTGTAACTCGATGCTTAAACGCCCGACAAATTTTCTTTTCGTTTAATTAATGTCATTTCGAAATTATTTTCTATAGTTGTTCGTCTAAGCTTAATTAATAATTTAAGCATTTCAAACGAATCATATAATTATAGTAGTTCATTACTCTGTCGGGAAAATTACACTATTAGTTATTCGCCACGCCCCCAATCATTCGTTGAATTGCAGCCTTCTATTGTTTTTAGTCCCCGATAATTGAAAGTTGATTACGTTCAATTCATTACTCTTAAACAGGCTGATAATGACCGTCCCTTGCCAGCTGCGATAACCAGGATCAGAAGATTTGAAATAATTATCAGCTGGGACAGTCTCTAACACGAGGGCTGGGCCAGTCTCTAACACGAGGGCTGGGCCAGTCTCTAACAGGGCTGGGCCAGTCTCTAACATAAGGGCTGGGCCAGTCTCTAACAGGGCTGGACCAGTCTCTAACATAAGGGCTGGGCCAGTCTCTAACACGAGGGCTGGACCAGTCTCTAACATCAGGGCTGGGCCAGTCTCTAACAGGGCTGGGCCAGTCTCTAACACGAGGGCTGGGCCAGTCTCTAACACGAGGGTTGGGCCAGTCTCTAACACGAGGGCTGGACCAGTCTCTAACACGAGGGCTGGGCCAGTCTCTAACAGGGCTGGGCCAGTCTCTAACATCAGGGCTGGGCCAGTCTCTAACAGGGCTGGGCCAGTCTCTAACAGGGCTGGGCCAGTCTCTAACATCAGGGCTGGGCCAGTCTCTAACAGGGCTGGGCCAGTCTCTAACAGGGCTGGGCCAGTCTCTAACAGGGCTGGGCCAGTCTCTAACACGAGGGCTGGGCCAGTCTCTAACACGAGGGCTGGGCCAGTCTCTAACACGAGGGCTGGGCCAGTCTCTAACACGAGGGTTGGGCCAGTCTCTAACACGAGGGCTGGACCAGTCTCTAACACGAGGGCTGGGCCAGTCTCTAACAGGGCTGGGCCAGTCTCTAACAGGGCTGGGCCAGTCTCTAACACGAGGGCTGGGCCAGTCTCTAACACGAGGGCTGGGCCAGTCTCTAACACGAGGGCTGGGCCAGTCTCTAACACGAGGGCTGGGCCAGTCTCTAACAGGGCTGGGCCAGTCTCTAACATCAGGGCTGGGCCAGTCTCTAACAGGGCTGGGCCAGTCTCTAACAGGGCTGGGCCAGTCTCTAACACGAGGGCTGGGCCAGTCTCTAACAGGGCTGGGCCAGTCTCTAACGCGAGGGCTGGGCCAGTCTCTAACATAAGGGCTGGGCCAGTCTCTAACAGGGCTGGGCCAGTCTCTAACACGAGGGCTGGGCCATTCTCTAACAGGGCTGGGCCAGTCTCTAACACGAGGGCTGGGCCAGTCTCTAACATAAGGGCTGGGCCAGTCTCTAACAGGGCTGGGCCAGTCTCTAACACGAGGGCTGGGCCAGTCTCTAACAGGGCTGGGCCAGTCTCTAACATCAGGGCTGGGCCAGTCTCTAACAGGGCTGGGCCAGTCTCTAACACGAGGGCTGGGCCAGTCTCTAACACGAGGGCTGGGCCAGTCTCTAACATCAGGGCTGGGCCAGTCTCTAACATCAGGGCTGGGCCAGTCTCTAACACGAGGGCTGGGCCAGTCTCTAACACGAGGGCTGGGCCAGTCTCTAACACGAGGGCTGGGCCAGTTTCTAGTCGTCAGCAGAAGAAACGAGCGGCCAGGACAGACGTACGACTTGTTGTGCCCCGTCACGTGCCCTTAGGCCCGTCACGTGCACACACCTTATAATGGTAATATTCAGCTGCGATTTGTAAACCTCGTGCCCGTTCAAGAAGATGCGGTGACCTGATCTTTTGCGATCCATTTCTGAGATGTCACAGTTATGTGATCATGATATACGATGTTTGCATTCGTCCTATAGGTGTACCTGATTTGCTGGGCCTCAGCCGGCAGCCTTAATAACAGATCGCAACTTTCTCTGGCTTACTTTTAATTAATAACTGTATG